TGGCAGTGCCCAAGGCCAGGCTGGACACTGGGGACAGTGGGAGGTGTCCCTGCCATGGCAGGGGTGGCACTGGGTGGGATTTAAGGTCCTCCCAACCCAAATTGTTCTGTGATTCCCTGATGCTGATTTTTATCCACTCAGATTTTCCTGCCTGCAGAGTTTTCCTCCAAGGCCTTTCCTTTGTTGCTTCCCAGTGAGTAAAATCTCCACACTGGGCTGGAGCTTTCTCCGTGCTCCACATGAGCCACAGCTGTTTCCTGCAGTGCCCTGAGGAAAATTCCTGCACATCCCTGGAAAAGCTCAGGTGCCATCAGGGCACTGAGGCTGGTGAGGCCCCTCTGGAGGAGCTGCAGCCCCTGGTGAGCTCTGACCTCAGTCCTGAACCCCAAAACCCCCAAATCTTTCACGTCTGGGGGGGTTCAGCAAAATCTCCTGGCTTTTACTTTCATTTTGGAAGCCTGGCTGGGTGAGGGGGTTAAAGCACTCCCAAAAAGATATTTTACTACTGAATTCCCATCCGGGCAGGAACACAAATTACCAGAAATCTTGGAGTGGTTTGAGAAAAACTGTGATTAAATTCTTCAAGCCTCCTGAATTCCCAGGTGATTTAATGCCCAGGTCGATGATGATATCAGTGACATCCAACACCTGTGAGCTCCTGATCTTTGTAAAGCAGGGTAACTTTGCCCAAATGCTAATTGGAGGAATTAGCACCTGCATTAATCACCAGCACAAACCAAATTTGAGGCTTCTGATGATTTCTGTGGTGTCTGCTGCAGGCTGAACATGCAGGAATAAGGGGATTATCCAAAAGATTTGAAATAATTCCCGTTGCACCAAACGGTTTCCTTAACACTTTATTGGAAGGATTAAATTCTTTTGGAGTGTGACTCCAGTGAGCTCTGTCCACTGCCTTGGGGAAAACCACGGGACCATGTTTGCCAGTGGAAATTTTAAATTTTGAATTGTCACCACGTACTAAAGAAACCAAGAGTAACAGCAAGGCCTTTTGTTGCCTCCAGGATGATTTTTCTCTGCCTGGTAGCAACAAAGGAGGTGCTTGATGAATCCACTTTGTGTCATCCCAAGAGAGAATTCCTGAATCTTCTGGAATCAGTGATGTGGGATCTGCTCTCCTCCAGGTGGGTGGTGCCGGGTGGACTGGATGATCCTGAAGGTCCCTTCCAACTTTGTGTTTCTCATTTATTATTTCCAACATCTCTACACTGACCTACAGAAGTTTCTTTTGTTTTTAGTTTTTTTTTCTGGAGATTTCTTGGACAAAAGCCCTTGAGCGTGTTGTGGATCATGGAATCTTTAAATGGAATTGTTCTTCAAATGGAAATCCAAACATTTCCTGTTCCATCCCAAGCCGTGCACAGGGAGAGAACTCCTGGAAGCTCCAGGCTCACTCTGCCTGGAGCACAGAGGGACCTGCAGGTGGGCAGCAGCTCCACGAGAGCTCGAGCAAAGTCACAACTCCAGATGGAATTTCTCAGATCTGAAAATGCTGAAGAAATGACTGAAATCTACATTTTCTACCCTCACACACTTTTTGAATGTGAAAAGAATTTTTGAATGGAAAAAAAAAAAGAATTTCCAGGAAAACCTGGTGCACAAATTAGGGTAGACAGAGCGTGGCTGAACATTCACCACTTGAATAAACTGGAATTTGGGAAGAGCCACCATGATCAGGGAGCAGAAGACAGGTGGGCTCCACTGGAAAGAGGGAGAAATAATTTTTCTTGATTTTTTTTTTTTGCTTTTCTCATTTATTTCCCAGATTCTGAGCATTTCTGCTGGATATCAGCACTATGAACTGCAACATTTTCCATTTGTGATATCTAAGGGTCAAGGGATCAAACCTCCTCACTTCTCTCAATTAAACAGGGTTAGGGATTCCTCAGTGAAAATGTGGGTTTAAACTCGATTAAATTGGATCCGTTGATTCATGATATTCTATTTGCACAGCACAATTTATGAGCAGCAAGTTGCTGCCCAGAGAAGAGGACAAACAGCTGGAAAAGCAGAGAGAGGCTTCTGGGGGAGGCGTCATTTTAATTGCACAGAATTCCATGATCACATCCCCAGCACGGGGAGGATTGCTCAGCACGACCTTGGAACCTTCTGGAATTAGAATTAGAGAAGAGAATT